CATTATGAGAGCTATTGAAATAATAAAATTGCTAGGTTATACAAAAATTAGAGTACATACAGACTCTAAATTTGCGATAGAAGGACTAACAAGTTGGGTACCAAAATGGGAAAAAAATGGTTGGAAAACTAGTCGTAAACGGGATGTTCTTAGTAAACGTTATTTCAAAGAAATGAAAAAAATGATAAAAGAAATAACAGTAGAATTAGGATATAATTGTGAACAATTCGTATCACATGAAACAATAAAAAGTAGGGTAGCAATAATAAAGTTAAAATGGAAAAAGCTGGAGAAAATCATCGGAGATTTAAGAAGACACAAAAGAATAGAAAAAAGAAATAAAAAAACAGAAAAATAAGTAAAAGAAATGCACCTTTAATAAGTGTATTAGGAAAAATAATCGGACCAACTATAGGATTACTTACTTATGACGAAGGGGAAAATTATAAAGAAATAATGAGGGATCTAAATGAGGGTCAAAGGAATATTTCACATTTGGTAGGAGAACAGACACATGTAGTAAGAGCAGAATTGCATACGCTCTACGATATGGCAGAAGCACAGCATAACTCATCGCAACATTCAAGAAAGGAATTAATAAAAACTAAAAGAGAAATACTAGATTTAAAAAATGAAACTAGTCGAATAGAATACACAGGAAATTTAAGAGAAAAAATAATACGATGGACTAGACAAATAGATACTTATATGAGCACAATTTAGATCATACGTTAGAAATCTTAAAAGAAGCAAAAGAAGGACATCTTTCTTCAGAATTGTTATCAGACGAACAATTGATAACAATAGCAACGGAAGCGAAAAAATATTTAAAGGACCAAGAATTCCCCATGCCTATAGACGAAATAAGTACAGCAACAATCAGTAAAATAGCGGAAATAAAATTACAAATAGACACAAATGATTTAATTATGTCGTTAGACATACCTTTAGTGGAAGAAAAAGTTTATATACTCTACAGGATGCATGAACTACCAGTCAAACAGGACAAAAAAATAATAGTAGCAACAGAGCATACATACTACCGCATTCCAGATACTTAGCTATAACAGCCAACGAATGATTTTACTTTTATTTGACAGAAGAACAATTATCCGCTTGCTATCTAACTAATGAACAATACATTTGTCACCACAAATACGGGGCATATGATATACGTTTAACACTTAGCTGCGAACCAGAATTAAGAAGAAAACCCACAAACGAAACCCTAAGAAGTTGCGACGTACGAATAACCAATGACCAACAACCACTATGGGAACTACTAACAACTACTGGAAGTTGGCTTTATTCACTAGTTAAGAATGAAACACTATATCTAAAATGTAAGGACAAGGAACCTGAAACCTACCAAATAAGAGGAATAGGAATAATTCATATAAGTACAAAATGTACACTAACAATTGACGCAGTACAGTTGCCAATTTTAGCAACAAAAGAAAATCCGCACCAATACATATATAAACCAAAATTAGAACTGAAACTAGAATACATATCACCCCTAACAAGGAAATTAAATCCACAAAAAATCAACGACGAAAAGGATAAACTACACCCGTATTGGAGAAAAATGGAAACAGATGAAAAAAGGGTTAAAATTAAAAAAAAAAAAAAAAAGAAAACAAAAAAGGGTTACATTAAATTTAAAAAAATTTTCTTTTTTTGAATCGTACGCAAAGTAAAAAAAAACACTATAATTTTATTAAAAATATTTTGTTTAAAAAAAAAAATTTATATATAAAATATATAAGTATATATAAAAAAAAGGTAATACAAAAAAATAAATATCAAAATATTAATACAAGAAAATAAAAGATTAAAAGACGACAATTCAAAACATTGACTCAGCGAAAACAGGTGTAACGAATCTAAAGTCAGATTTTAAAAATGTTCAAAATTCAAAATGGTGGATCCAATATGGCGACCAAAATTTTTTTAAAAATTATCAGATTTGCTTGAAACTTGTTACTCGGGGATTTTTGGGGTCGGTGATTACGAATTTGAATCTGGATATTATAAAATAAGATTGGTGGTTCCAAAATGGTTAATAAAGTATTTAAAAATTGGGTGGATTCGCCACCCTTAACTCCATAAACCACCCCTTTCACATTATTTAATTAGTTGTTTTAAATTTTTCTTCCATACAAATTTAGTAATTTTTCAAAATACTACCCTTAATCCCCAAAACTACCCCTTAATATAGAAATTTAATATTTTTTAAAATTTACTCTACATAAATCTTTTATAATTTTTGCTAATTTGAGGCTTTTAAATAGCCTTAAATTAAATTTTGAATAATCTACCCTTAACTCCAAGAACCTCGTCCTTTAAATATTTAAATTACTTTTTTAAAATTTTTCCTTTCCTTTATAAAAATTTCCTCTATATCATTTTTTTACAATTTAAGCACAACTGAAACTTTCAAATATTCTCAAATTGAATTTCAAAAACTGTCCTTCACTCTAAAAACCTTTACCTTAAAAATCAGCCTCATTACATTTAAGTTTATAAATGCAAACAAATTTACAACTTTAACCGCCATATTGGCTCAACCATTTTGAATTTTTAACAACTTTTACATCAGAATCGTGATCTGTGACCTCATTTTTGAAAGTTGACGTAAGATTCGTGGTCATCGACCCCAAAAATCCCCGAGTAACAAGTTTCAAGCAAATCTGATAATTTTTAAAAAAATTTTGGTCGCCATATTCGATTCACCATTTTGAATTTTGAACATTTTTAAAATCTGACTTTATATTCGTAACAGCGACCCCAAAAACCCCCGAGTAGCAAGTTTCAAGCGAATCTGATCAAATTTTAATAAAAATGTCCGCCATATTTGATCCGCCATCTTGAATTTTGAAAATTTTTTAAATCTGACTTTAGATTCGTAATGAGCGACTCCAAAAACCCCCGAGTAACAAGTTTCAAGCAAATCTGATTATTTTAAAAAAAAAATTTTCCACATATTGGATCCGCCATTTTGAATTTTGAAAATTTTAAAATTATGACTTTAGATTCGTAATCAGCGACCCCAAAAACCCCCGAGTAGCAAGTTTCAAGCGAATCTGATCAAATTTTAATAAAAATGTCCGCCATATTGGATCCGCCATCTTGAATTTAAAAAAATTTTTAAATCTGACTTCAGATTCGTAATCATCGACCCCAAAAACATAAGAGTGACCCATTATCCAACAAGTTGCAATTATTTTCTCAAGGTAATTAATACATTTGTTTGCTGAGTTAGTAAAAAAATTTGCAAAACATGGTACAGTAAGGACGCCATTTTGAATTTTTTAATTCGCCACTTTTTATTCGAAGCAGTATGAGCTGACGATTATTTTGAGCCTTAATAAGTTGATTTTCGTTGATTAGAATTTTGGATGGAGCTCTGGGCCGGTTGACATGAAACGTCCCACATAAATTATCGTTTTATTGTTCCAGGTTCTGAAAAAACTTGAAATTTTTTAACTAAAAAAGAAATCTTTGTAGCTATTAAAGAAAATTTTTCCAATGATTTTCAAACTCGGTGTGCGCTTATTGTAAAACAGCTAACAGAGAAATGTGGAATTCCTATTATATTATCCAAGAGAGACAAAATTCGCATTAAATCATTCTTTGTGTCGATAAAAAGAAAGTGGAAAGACGAAAAGAGGACAACTGTTGTGTTCATCAGAAGACATGATCAATGAACACTTTCTTCTTTTTTACTGAAGATGTCGATCGTAATGACTATGCCGAATGGATAGAAGAGCCTACATCTTCAGGAAATAAAATGGGCCGTCCGTTGTCATCTTTTTTAAAGTCCAGTGACACCAGCTAAAAATTTCTGTACAGGATCCTTAAAGAATCCCGAGAGGTTCCTACATAGGATCCTTAAAGGTTTCCTGAGGGTACCTGTTAAGAATTCTATCCCACTAGGATCCTGGAGGATCCTAGTGGATATTGGAAGGGTATTAGAACAGGGATCCTGTACAGGAACCTGTGCAGGAACATTAGTTACCTAAAGTTGCTTAGCAGGTTTCTTTGTCTGAAAGTTTAAAACAAATTTTTAAATAAAAATTCCAGTACATGAACCTCCACAGGATCCCATGCAGGGACCTTTGTTCCTGAATGTTAACAACTTTACTTGTTGCGCAGTAAGAAATTTGCGCAAAGAATTTTTTTAATTAAGTGCATCAATATATATTCCTCACAAAATTAAAAAAAAATTTTGTTTAAAAAAATCCACCTTGGATCCTACGTGGGATCCTCTTATGATTCCTACAAATGTTCCTTAGCATGAAAAGAAAGTGAAATATTTTCCTTTACATGATTATGCGAGTGTTCATGTGTAGGAACCTTTGCATGAAATTATTTTTAATAAATTTACTTGTACAGGAATCTGCAAAGGAACCTTAGTATGAATCTCTAGGGATCCTTTAAGAATCCTGTACAGAAATTTTTATATGAGAACGTACTAAGCGAAAAGAAACAGAAGAAATTCGGGAAAAATTCAACTGCGAGGAATTAAGACTTTTGACCAAATTTTTGGCTTTTTGAACCACTGTGCATCGCAAACATCAGGAGCCACGAGGCGAGTCTTCCACTAACAATTATAATGTAGTTAGTGTATTTTTCTATAAAAATTCAAATTACATTGAAAAATTACCTTCAAACCCCAATGTTGCTTCAGAGCAACATGTTATAAAATGTAAATATCTAAACGAAACAAATTCCTTCGCATATTTTTTGATTTTTAATGGGACCTCAAATACTTAACAAAGTGAAAAAAATGTTAACTTTATAAATGAAAATTTGGCCCTCAAAGGGAAAAACGATATTAATGCTCTTTTTTTGGTTTGTAACAATCTATCCCAAGATATTCATTTTAAAATAGAAGACTGCAAAAACATAAACTATTTTTAACTAAGTTGTATAAATTTAAGATAATTTAGATGAATGAATTAATTTATTAATGAATAATTAATTACTTAAATTACCTGTTGGATTACTCACGAAGTCGACACTTACATCAGCTTCAGCTCCTCTTAGTATCAATATTTTATTGTCGAATTCAATATCAACGTCCTATAACAAAAAAAAATTAGTATGATACAATACGCATTTCTGTTTATTACATTCTCATCATAATGAGAAAGTATTATATTTCCCCCATTTTGACCAATCTCTAATTCTTGTGAATCTCCACGTTTCAAAACTTCCTGATGCCAAAAAGTAGGTTTAAAAGAAATCTCTCTGTATGTATGTATGTCTGTAGACAAAAAAGTTTGCTCGACGATAACTTGAGCAAATTTTAATTATTCGACCTCAAACTTGGTACACACTTTAAGTGTACCAAAATTTCACCTGAGTTTGTTGGACAGACAACTGCGTCAAAAAACAACAAAATTACTTAAATTTATAATTTTCAAAAAATTTTATTTTTCCAAAAAAAATGTTTGTCAATTTTTTTTGAAAAATGTGAGTAAAATGAAACACTTTTTTCATTAAAATTTTTTGGTTATGGTAAGAACAACAAAGTTACACATTTAAAAATATATTTTAATTTAAAAAAAAATTTTGTTTTAAAAAAAAAAATTTTTAATTTTTTTTCAAAAAATTTGAGTAAAATTAAACACTTTTCCCCTGTAATATTTTTTGATTTGAGTAAGAACAACAAAGTTACACATTTTTCTTTAAAAATGACAAAAACGAATAAAAAATTGATAAATTGCAGGACAAAGTTACTTTATTTTGGAAAAAACTGGAAATATCTATTATTTCTATTTAAATTACTTTGAATTAACACTAATAATTATAATTCACTGAAAATTTTCGAAATTTTTTTTTATAAGTACAACCATTACGTTCCATTTCTGGACGCGTTTTTTGTACATAATAATTTACAAATAAGTAAAGTTATCATATTTCTGAATTTATCAATTGAAAGTTAACATAATTCCGCATGCAAAGAGCCCAATACGAAATATTTTGGTTTATTAAATTGCACAGGCCTAAAACAGGAATCTGCAAAGGAACCTTAGTAAATAATGTTCCTGCACAGAATTCTGTACAGGATCCTATGTAGAAACCTCTAGGGATCCTTTAAGGATCCTGTACAGGAATTTCTAGCTGGGACATTTGTAATTACACGTGTATTTTTTCAATAGGGAAAACGTTTTTAAAACGAACATGGTTTTTGCCCACTAGGTAGTTTTTATGAATTTCTTTTTCTTGTACTGATTATGGAAAAGTTTTTACCAAAATGTGGAAGGATTCTTCCACTAAATGTAGAAAGAAACTCATACTAAAATTTGATGTAAAGAAATGTTAGAATTTTTAGAACTTCGTGAACTTTCAAATTTGTTTTAACAAACCTTCCTGTGATACTTCCTGTAACCTCAACTTATGATAATATCAATCTATTACAACTTACATTATCATTAAATAAGTACTTTAAAATTTACAATATGATTTTTAGAAATATTAAGGACGAATTCAATGCCCTAACTTGTACTGAAGATAAGGATGATGAGGATGTTACCAGAAACTAGATATTTCGTAGATAAGATGTTTTTTTCGAAAGAAGTGGCAACTTATCATTCCATTTGCCCAGTGTGTGGGGCATATGTTTTAACTTATACTCATAAAGATGCCGAAAAAACTTTTTCTGAATGCGACACAGTAATTTAATTACACGATTCAAATAAAATTTCATTTTATGTAACATACTCAATTGAGAATGAAATTAAAAATATTTTGGAATTTAATGATGCATACTATGATCGTATTATCAACTTAAGAGATCATGAAAGCAATATTTATCATTATATTCAGGATGGTCGCCTCTATAGAAAATTTGTTAATTTTTTAGATCCGGTTGATCGAAATCAATATATTAGTTTAACGTTTAATTCTGATGGAGCACCACTATTTGTTAGCTCCAGCTATTTAATTTGGCCCATTCAATTTGTGGTAAATGAAACGCCTTTAAATATTAGGACTTCAAAGTCAATTGTGTTTGCTTTGTGGTTTGGAAAAAACCTGATATGTCTGTTTTTTAGAATCCGTTGTTAACAAAATGAACGAATTATCAGAGTCTGGTATTTCTTGCATAATTTTAGGTAAAGAACAATTAATTAAACCCTTTGAAATATGCTGCTGCGTTGACACCGTTGCAAGAGGGCCTATGCAGGGTGTCACACAATTTAATGGGAAGACTGGTTGCAATTGATGAAAAATTCAAAATCTTTTATTTATTTTTAACTATCGGAAAAGTTTTATCTCATCTAACATATTGTAGAATTTGATTTAAGTAAGATGTATTTCTTCGTAAATTTTTCATTTAAAAGACTATTTAGTCAAAAACAAATGTCTAGTTGACTGTCAACTTCGCGTGGATTTCCTATAGATATCTTGCTTTTTAGAATATTCATGTTACCCCAAGTAGCACGATATATCAACCAGATGTCACGGTGATATCACCGGGGAATGTCACCGTGATATCACCGTAAGGCGGACATTTTGACATTTTCCTGATGTCACGGTGACATTCCCCGGTGATATCACCGTGACATCTGGTTGATATATCGTGCTACTTGGGTACTAATGTTTACAAAAAATCTAAATCTTTTATTGGTTTTCCGCCATCATTAAAACTTTATATTATGCATTTTATTTTTTGAGGAAGTCAGATTCATTTAAAAGGTAATTGTTTTATTTTAAGAGACTATTCATCAAAGAAAATATTAATTGTCAATTTCCTGTCGACATTCGTAAGGAAATACGATCGGAATTGCTAGTCGTCTTATATTTCAAAATATTTGTGTTATTTATGTCATAACAAATTCTGAATCTTTTAGTGATTTTTAACCGATGGAAAAGATTTAACTTACATCTTTTATATATTGGCTTGAGAAAAAAAGATTTAGTTCTAAAGTTATTTTTTGTTATTCTAAGAGACAATTTATCCAAAACAAATATTAACTGGTAATTCCGCATAAAAATTCGCAAGGAAATCCGGGTGGAATTTATGGATGTTTTGATCGTTAGAATATTTTTGTTATTTATGTTATAAATAATTGAATAGCTACGTGCAATAACTCGCCGAGTGCTTGGCCGATCGCTCTAACGCAAGTCAAACGTTCAAAAACGTGAAAAAAATGAAAAATCAAAATTTTGATTTTTGAAAAGTGCAATCTTGTAGGACATAAGATGGCGCATCTTTTTTTCCTTTAAGTTTTTTTTGTAGATCAATAAATTGAGTTAATATATGCAAAACACTTAAAGATTTTATTTCACAAATTTCATTCAATTTTTAAACATAAATCATAGTATCTTTGACAAATTTCAATGAATCTAATTGAAAATTTATATACATACGTATTTAGGTCCATAGAAGACGACAACATAATCAAAAATATTAAAATCATCAATTGTTTATTTATAATTAATTGTAAATGAAGACTTGTCAATAATAATGTTTTTTTACCTTTGTCGACATAAAGTGTGTGGGGAACTTCAGAGTTGAAGAAACTTCCAGTGAGACATTTGTTTATCATAATGTAAGGAAGTTTTTTGTAAAATTTAAAAACAATTTATCAACAACTTTAGAAAATATAGAACGTTTAAGGAAACATGCGCGACGCGGTAGCGAGTCTCCGCGCGGAGAATTGCACACAAGAGTTGTAGAGGACCGAAAATACAGAAACAAATATTGTCACTACATTCTAAGAAATGTTTTTCAAATAAAATATGTGTTAATTTTATGAAAATGCAAATTAAATTTGAACAACTGTTTTTTTAATATCTACTAAATAATCAATAGTTTTAAAATATTTTGGTGCTTGTATGTACTGCTTGTGCAGTTTGCAAATAAGTTTTTTAATAATTGAGGGGCCGGATACAATAACAACCAGTACGCTCGGCCAGTCGCTCTGAAGCCAGTCAACACGTCAAAAATGTGAAAAAATTGAAACTCAAAATTCGGATTCTTCAAAAGCTTCACTTTATAGAAGATAAAAAAATGCATCTTTTTTCTCTCAGAAATTTTTTTCCAAATCCCATATTTTTGATAATCAAAGCAAAAAACCCCAAAAAAATTTTCTCAAATTTAATTAAATTTTGAAACATAAACGATCATTTCTTTGACAAATAGTAATAAATTTATTTACAACTTGATATACATACTAAATGAGGTCTAATAAAGCCATTAAAACATTAGAAAAGGCAAAAAAAAATTATTTTTTTATTATTTTTAATTAAAAATTGAAAGAGGTTGAAGCATTCATAAGCTCTCAGTCCGGGGATTATTAATATATTATGTAATTTCTTATTCTTATTTAATTAAATTTATGTGACACATCGATTCTGAGAAGCAAATGAATTCAAACATGTGGCCGATAAATTGTAAACATAAATGTTTAGGGAAGTATCACCCACATTCTATTTTCTCAAATACAAAGTAAACAATAGTATTGTTAAAATTTAAAGGGACTTTATATTCTTAATTTCTATTATTCAATATAATGAGACACGTGCTAACTATATCATCAGATAAGATGGTAAACGTATAGTGAAATTTATGAATGAAAATACGTTAGTATTTATCTTTTTTTTTGCTTTTCCAAATTCTATATTATACTTATATATATCAATATTCTTTCCCTTTTATTTTTAAATTATTTGTCGCTTTTCAAACTAAATTAGAGGAATCTTTCCAATAATTATTTAGTTTTTTAGCTTTTGTTATTAACTTTTCAAAATTCTTTTACTTGTTTATGGCGTACTTGCGTTATAATGTCAAAAATGCGCGTGTAAAATATTATGAAGAAATTCGGATTTTTAAAAAAGTTACACACCAATATATACCTGCATGTACGCAAAAACTATAGCAAAACCGATGTGAACATAAACATTAAACTCGTTTTTCTCACAACAGTGTTTTTAAAAACGGTACCCCCTGTAGCAAAAAATCTAAACAAGATTTTGAGGTTTTCCTTTTTGCATGTTGTTAAAAAACATATTCTTCAGTGGACTAATTATCAAAGATTTGAAAATTAAATTTTTTCCATTTTTTATAGCCAAAA